TATGAAGGGCCGGGGTCACCAAGTATCCTTCCCTGCTTAGATCAAACATATAAAGAATCATAACGCCAACTCAAAAAAACATCAGATCGTGGAACAGCAATGCGGTCCCGAAGCGCGCGGATGCAAATCTAGCACCATTAGGATTATTAGTTCACTAGGTTAGAAACTATGGTATTTCAAAATCTACTTCTGAAGTGGTGATCTGCGTGAAAATAGGAGCAAACACGCAGGGTACATTAGGATAATGTGCCGATGTTTTGATATGGACTGCAATGGAGCTGCTTGGAACTGCTTTAAGTCATGCGTTGTCAAATCGTTTGTGATAATTCGAGTTATTTTCCCAAAGCGGAATCTTGTATAATTGTCAGTAACTAGCCGGAGGCACTGGATGGTGAAGCGCCAAGTACTGCAGTTGCGAACTCAATGAACACTTATCAGTCGTGAAAATGAATTTTGTATTCTTGTTTGTGCTTACAACTGGTCAGGGACCCAACTACTTCCCACATGAGAAAGAGGGGATCCCTAGACTGCTTAGTCACTACCTTGATCCGGTCGTAAATGACACGACTTTGAATACCGCACAGTAAACAAATGTAAGAATATCCTACTTGGTTTCTATAATTTCGGACATTTCAATGAATACCGAGATGATGCGTGATGGGACAGAATAAATAGTATAAATGGTAAATTCGGTGACTTAAAATTCCTTCGGATCATGATTGCCACTTAGTAGAATCACCTCAATACAGTGAACTTTAAACGAGTTGTAATATGGTGTCACATGGTAGAGTGCAATTTATGAAACAAACGTTGCACTAAGGCAAAATCCAGTTTTTCTCTTCTCAATTAGAAGTCAATAACTTCCATACATAAGAAAGATTGTAGGCCCATATGTAAAAGCCTAGCTGTTTTCGTACGCATAAGCAAGGTTTTGTAGAATGCACTAACAATAAGTTGTTCGTTATAAATATGTCATGTTCTTTCAATTAAGTAAAAGAATTTGCGAACGCCGATTTGCATCTTGCAAACTTTTTCTAAAAAAAAGAAAATCTTTTATCAAAATCGAGTCGAATATATGTACATGCAAATTGACACATGGTGTGGCTAGGATATCTCAAACAATTTCAAGATGACTAACAACAGAACGGATCATAATAATATGGTCGTGCGAACCACGGTCGTCTCCAATATGGTCGTCTCCACCATCGCCTCCTAAATCCCCATCCGCCACCATAACCTCCACCGTAACCTCCGTACATCCAAGGTTGTGGGCCGATGTATAAGCCGAACTGTGCTGGGGCGAGGTTGACCATAGACAGCAGTATAAGAACGATTATCAATGAATTCATTCTGGAAAAGCAGTTTAGGGAAAAACACCATCAGGAGCTACACTTACCTTATGGAAAATAAAGTACAAAAACTGAGAGTCAAAGGAAAAAATGTATTTATTCGCTCATACCACTTCCAGTTCGCCAAAGTTCATGCCCTTTACATATTTTACTACGTGTACTATTGATTTACAAGGAAATTTGGCGGATGGTACTCTTCATCAACTTCTATAATTGAACACACGTAGTAAATGCGAAACCGCTAGCTACAGAAAGTTGTCAGCTTGTC